TTGCCTAACAAATCTATCACACAAATCCCTAAAAAAAAAAAAAAAAAAAAAAGAAAAACCTATCATACAAATAAGGACAATTTAACCACAACCTAAAGGCATCGTGAGTTATGATAAACTAAGGACTTGTTTGGCATTATTTTTTTTATTTTACTTTTCTGATTTTCTTAAAAACAAAAAACCAAAAACAGGAAACAAGAAAAATGTGTTTTCACTTTTCTGTGGTCAGCTTTCAAAATTATCATGATTTTGACAATATTGACTAATTTTAGATTCATTATATAACATATATCATATGATTTTGAAAAACAAAAAACCACAATGATACCAAACGAACCCTAAATAATTTTCATTAATGTGTTCACACTATCGCACTCTACATTTTGTGCAAAATTGTACAAAATACATAGTAGTTTCAGAAAGTTGACGGTGGGAGGTTTTTGTAATTTTAAGTGTAAAATTTTAAAGTCATATTAACTAATATAATTTTTATAAGAAAAAAGCTAACAAACACCCCGGAGGCGTTGGATGGATAAGATAACTAAAACTAGAAATATTGAAGTAAAATGAACATTAATTACACCGATCAATGCGTGATTTTGGCATACATTCCTAAATTAATACTTATTTAGGAAATATTTTAAATTTTTATTTAATGCCCTAGAGGCATTCGTTAGCAAGATCTTTTTTATAATTACGCCTTGTTATTAAAACTTTAAATGGATGGATTACAATGGCAATATGGGTTGATTCTAGTGTATACACTAGGACTAGCCGTTAATGAGTCGAGTCGAGCTCAAAATGCTCGTGAGTTGTTTGAGCTCGGCTCGGTCAAAACTCGGCTTGGCAGGTCTCGGCTTGAGTTCGGATTCGGCTCGAGACTAAACAAGACGATACACAAGCCATGCTAAGCCCGGCTCGGCTCGAATAATTTTTTTAAAATAAATATTATATGTTTCTTTTACATTCAAATAAAGTTAATAAGCGCAAGGACAACCCTACTAGGGTAGTTGGGTAAGTTATGTGACACAAATTGTGTATTTATGGCCTTCATGAGCCTAATTTAAAAATCGAGCTTATAACAAGCCTGATTTCGAACTTGAGCCATAAGCCAAGCTCCACTATTGAGCACTCGAGCTCAAGCCAAGCTCAATTTTCAAGGCTCAACGAGCTACGAGCTCAAGCCGAGCCTCGAACCCGAATTCACGAGCTCGAGCCGAACCTACCAGTATTCGGACTCGGCTCGGCTCATTAACAGCCCTAGTATACACTATATAGTGCATTCGTAGTATGTAAATAACTGCCCTCTATCAAAAAAGAGAAACAAGACATATATATTTCTATACTTGAATATTATTTCCCTTTCAAGAAGATATTCTTCCATTCATGTATGGTAATAGTATAATTATTTACTACAAGTATCATACAGTGGATTGAGAAGTCAAACTTGTATCCTATGGTCAAGATCTCATTTGTCAAAGCATAAAGCATGTGTATGGTGCCATCTAATTTTGAAAGAAAAGGCTATTATAAAACGTGAGTGAATTTAATGTATAAAGACTATTTTTTTATTATTATTTGGGGTTTGAATGAGCCATTAGGCCCATTACAAATAACATGTAGGGGATTGAGAATTCAAACTTGTATCCTATGGTCAATATCTCATTTGTCACAGCATAAAACATGTGATATATTGATAGCTAGTTTTGAACGAAAAGGTTATCCTAAAATGTGAGTGAATATAATGTATAAATGACTATTTTTTTTTTTCTTTATATTTGAATGATTCATTAGGCCCAATACAAATAACATGTATGGGATTTACAATTCAAATTTGTATCCAATTGTCAAGATCTCATTTGTTAGAGCATAAATCATGTGATATAGTGACAACTAATTTTTTAAAAAAAGGCTACCCTAAAAAGACTACTTTTTTCTTTGGGTTTGAATGAGCCATTAGGCCCATTACAAATATCATACAGGGGAGTGAGAATTCAAACGTGTATCCCATAGTCAAGAACTAAAAACCTAATTTGTGAAGACATAAAACATGTGGCATAATATCAGCTAATTTTGAAGCAAAAGACTACCTAAAACATGTATACTCCATACTTTCGTAGTATATAGCACATAGTCAAGCATTTCATTATAATTATACCTCATTTTCAATAAATATAGAACTTCCTGAAATGTGTAACGCGTTGAGGATCATTCTTGTTACCTCCTTCCTCCTAATTTATTATTCAAGGCAAATAATAGCAGGTAATACTTTATTCAAACTATGTTGTTCTATTTATATAACTTGATTGTTTGAATGTTTGTGCTCAAATAATATACTTATATTGTTTTATTTATATAGATGGATGTGGTTCTTATTGTGTTGCGAAACCGAAGGCCTAAGATGAATTAATACAAAAAGCGCTAGATTATTGTTGTGGAAAAAAACCGGAAATATGTCACGATATACAAACAGGAAAGCCATGTTTAGTGCCCGGTGATCTAAGAGCACCATTATTGGTGAACAAAAAAAAATGGTTCATGGGTCACTATCACCATTTCTCTCTCATCCACATCAACCCAACAAACCATTTACAATATTCACTCTTAACAATAAACACTAAACAATAGTTCATCATCAATACTCCCTACCCCACCTTATTTTATTTTTGTAAATATAATCTTTTTGTTTCATAATTATAATTTATTAACCGATGTCAATGTAATTAATTGACGTATTTAATATTTTAATCGTGATTACTAATTAAGAAATTATCGCGTTTTTTTATCAGCTTTTTAAAAAATTAATTCTTGTGATTAATATTTTGTAAACAACAACGCAGCTAATTTTAATTAACATAAAAAAAAGGAGGTACAAATCGTGATTACAGTTCTACAACTATAATCTAGTACATTTTATTTAAAAAAAAAACACAACTACACATCGTTTTGTAAGATGTCCTTAGGGATAACCATTTGTTGTAAACCTAGTTGCCTAAGTTTTCGTTGTTACCAAATTTATTCCATATATGTTCGACCAAGTCGTTTTTTAGCTGCAAATGAGTCTGTTGATCCTCAATCTCTGTTCTACGAGACAAGTATAAGCCGATATCCACAATACGATCAGTACGGTACTCGGTAGTGTCCTCATTAGCGTTCCCTCCAGCATTCATAAACTCATTGGTATTAACGTTATTTTGATACGTCTCTCGTTCATCTTCAACGATCATATTATGTATTATGATGCAGGCGAGCATGATATTGTGGAGTATGTCGGTATCCCACGCCAAAGACGGCTTTTTAATAATGGCAAAACAAGCTTGAAGGACCCCAAATGCACGTTCAACGTCTTTTCTTGCAGCTTCCTGGTGTTTTGCGAATAAACGATCCTTATGAGTTTGTGGACTCGTAATGGATTTCACAAAAGAAGCCCATCTAGGGTAGATTCCATCAGTAAGATAATACCCATTCGTATAATGATGACCATTGACTACGAAGTTGACAGGAGGTGTCCGACCCTCTAAGACGTCTTCGAACACAGGGGATCGATGAAGCACATTAATATCGTTGCAGCTACCTGGCATCCCAAAAAACGAATGCCATATCCATAGATCTCTGTCCGCAACTGCCTCCAGTATGAGAGTTGCAACTCCTTCTCTTCCTTGATACTGCCCCTTCCATGCGTGTGGACAGTTCTTCCACTCCCAGTGCATACAATCAATGCTACCTATCATGCCAGGAAATCCACGTTCTTCCCCAATACGTAGCAATCTTTCCATATCTGCGATGTTTGGACGGCGTAGGTACTGATCACCGAACAGGTTGATGACACCTTCTGTAAACTTTTGGAGTGCCAATCGTGAAGTAGCCTCACTTATACGGACATACTCATCACAAGCGTCTGAAGCACACCCGTAAGCTAGTTGTCTAACGGCCGCAGTGCACTTTTGAAGTGGAGACAAACCAAGACGACCTGCCGCATCTCGCCTTTGTTGAAACCAAGGGTCATATTGGGTCACTGCGTTGAGAAGGCGCTCAAACACATGTTTACGCATTTGAAACCGGCGCCGGAACAAGGAACTTGGATAAACTGGGACTTCCGCGAAATAGTCATTGTATAACCGTGCATGACCTTCTTCGCGTCCCCTATCCTTTCGGGGCTCAATAGATTTTCGTCGGCGTTGCTGAGTGGCAGCCTGAATAATTGGTGGAATGTACTCATGCATTACGTGTTGTATCATAAGAAACACTTCATTACGTTGTTGAACTCTAAGCTCCCTTCCCTCATCATCCGAGTTAGATGAAGATGAAGGGGAATCGGTTGAGCTTTCGTTTAAACTATTTGAATTCATTTTGTAAGAAATGTAAGATAGAGTGAGGTTTGCTAATAGTAACTGCAAACGATTTATGTGTTTGTGTGTATACAAAATGAAAGAATGGTGTTTATTTATAGTGAACTAATTTGTAATTCTTCTTCAGAAATAGCTGAATATAAAGAGACAAAGATCACATGGGCTATGACAAACAATGAATTACAACCACACAGAAATTGAATGGAGAAGAAGGGTTTCACATGGGCTATGACAAACACTGGATTAGAACCACACAGAAATTGAATGGAGAAGAAGGGTTTCACATGGGCTAACAAAGGGGAAATTAAGATACTGACACAATTATATATAAAGAGACAAATTGATATAATTGAATAAACAGAATAAGATCACATGGGCTATGAAAATGGGAAAGTGGAAAAGATACATTTTATTGATTAATTGATAAAGTACAAACATAAGGAAATGAGTACAAAAGGTTGAACTGGAATTGAAAACTTATCACTACTGAAAATGAAGAACAACAAAGGAATTGAACACACTTAACTACAATAAAAATAAAGGACACTAAGCATCATTATTGAAACGTTGAATATTGTTCCGAAGTATTACTATCATTTCGTCTTCCCATTGCTCTCGGTTTACTTTCTGTTCTAGACGAGATAGTTGCTCCTAGTTGATCCTATATTGCTCTAGCTCAATTTTCCGTTGTTTCCTTGCCTCCTTGCGCTCTTGTATTTCAAGTCTCTTCATTTCTGCTTCGTTTGACACATTCATCGACTCCCCAAAAAGCTGCAATCGAGTGTTGAATGTTTCTAATTCCTTAAATGCTTGACTTGATGGAGCTTTACCCTTCAACCTCGACTTAGCCTTTTTAATACCTTCAGCACGAGCTACTCTCTCATCACCGACACCCACGCTGGTTGGTGTGGTAGGTGAGGAATTGTCACCCTCATCCCGTGTCCTCTTCCCACTACTTCCGCTCCCTACAGACTCATCCGTCAGTGGAGTTGAATGTGGACGTCCCACCGATGGCTTGAATGTTTGTTGGTCCAAGAAAGACCGGAATTTGTCCCACTTCCTTAGTTGGATCCATTCCTCGTAGAAGGTGAATCGTCCGAACGAGTTCTCATGGATTTTGTGGGCCTCTTGGATAACATCATCTTCGTTATAGCCACTTCCCTTTCGCTTCCGGGCCTTATCATAGCTTCCGCATCACTTTAACACGGCTTCAGAGATTCGCATCCACCTTCCCTTCAAACTACTAATATTTCGTAAGGATGTTTCATCTGGATTCGATTCCCTGGCAGCATCGTATGCGTCCAAGACTCTCTTCCAAAATACACCCTTCTTTTGATTTGTGCCGATAATTATGTCGGTGCTGGTGTTCATGTAGCCGGATATAAGAGCCGCAGTTTCTGATCGCGACCAACCTCTATTGTTTGAACCACCAACACGATATTCAGGAGTTGATTGGAGTGGTTGCTGTAACATTTGACTGAAGTTTTGATGGGGAGAAGGAGTTTCATTTCCCTCACCATCATCCTCACATTCTTCATTTGCCTCATCTTCTTCAGATAAGACATTGCTCGATTCCCAAATATTGGGATTCGGTTGTTGTGACGGAAAATAACCAGATGCAACACCATATTCACCGTAACCCATTGGTATCATGGATGGATGTGGGAAATTTGAACTGCTTTGAGAAAAATTAAAATTTTGAGGGAAATTTGGTGGATTATATGGGAAACTTGACTGGGGTATTTGAGGATAAACTCCAGAAAAATTATGGGGAATATTTGTGGATGTTTGTGAAAAATTTGGGTGAATTGGAGGAAAATTAGCTTGATTCGGGATCATATTTTGACCCAAATTTTTTTTTTGCTTTCTATTTGTTTTGGGGTTGGTATTAGCATCCATAATTATAATTTATATTTGGAAAAAATAAAAATTTAATAATAATAATAATAATAACAATAATAATAATAGAAATAATAATAATAACGATAATAATAACGATAATAATAATAATAATAATAATAATAATAATAATAACAACGATGATAATAATAATAATAACAACGATAATAATAATAATAACGATAATAATAATAATAATAACGATAATAATAATAATAATAATAATAATAACGATAATAATAAAAACAACAATAATAATAATAATAATAATATTAATAATAATATTAATGATAATAATTAAAAATAATAATAACAATAATAATATTAATATTGGTATAAATAATAATAATAATATTGGTAATTATAGAGGGGATTTTTGAAGAGAAAAATATAGTAGAAAAAAATGAATTTTGAAAGTTGAAAAAAATATATCAATATGGGTGTCTATTTATAGAGGGGAAAAAAATAGAGTCGTTGGTAATTTTTTTTTTTTTTTATTTGTATTTTGTAAAATATATCCGTTGCAAAATTACAACGGATATATTTAAAACAGTGCACACGTGTCAAGCAGCGGCTGGGCCAAGTGGCGCGCTCCCAGCCGCTGATTTCTATTTTTTTTTTCTGAGCTTCAACAGCAAAACGACGTCGTTTTGCACCATGAAACAGCAAAACGACGTCGTTTTGCTATAATACCAGTCCAAAATATTGGTGGGGCCCACAGCGAATTAATTCATGGAAATGCTTGCTCCTGCAATCAAACCCATGACCACTCAACATGAACCATTAAAGGTTTGCCATTAAGCCACCACTTTATTTGTTTATTCATTGTGAACAATTAAATAGTTCACCCTTAAAGATGCCCTAAGGGCAACTGCCTCTTATGTCTTTGATTCTTGGTTTAAAACGAATGTCGTATGTGATTTTGAGGGCGCTGCAACGATAGTTTCTGATAATCCGAGTATGTTCTGTTCGGCTTACTTAATGAAATTATATTTTTTTTTTCAGAATTAAGGTCTTATTCTATTTACCTTTTTTTTTATTAATTTTTTTTAATAACACTTCTCCTCAAATTAATACAAGTAATATTTTGTAAATGCGATGTATATTTTACCATATACTCCCTTTGTTTACGTTTTGTTGACTTTTGTACTTCTAAAAATCTTTGACTATTATATTATGATAAAAATCAAAAGATTCAAAACCATATCATATGCAATTTTATTACATTCTTCTTAAAATAAATTTTCAAAATATCTACTCGTATTGTTTATAATTTTTTGCTAGCTTTTTCATTGGCTTTTGATTTTTCATGATCAAATAGCCAAAGTAATTTATTGAACTAATACATTTTAATTTTTTTATACATTCTTGGATCATACTTTAAATTGTAATTAGTCCATAACAATTATACCCCTTGTGTGAATGTGAGCTAATGCAATTATTACTATAATTTTTTATTTTGTAATTAATTTGTATCTCTTGTTAACTTGTGATAGGTCATGGCGACTGCAAATACAAGTGTAAGAATGGGTGAAAAGTTGTAAAACATGATGCCAAGTTGGAAGGAAACGAAAGATGCACAATTTCTATACAATAATTTGTGTAATTTGCATCAAAAGGAAGCAATGTGAAATTATCATGTTTAGAATAATTAAAAATTTGGCAATATATTGAAATGAGTTTTTTGCAACTATGTTCAAGGTTATTAGTGCATTTTAAATATCGTTGCTTATTTAAGTGGGGCTTGACCAATTATCAACGCAACTAAGTACGGTACCTACTAAATCTATTCTAAAATAAATGTTCAATTTTGATCGGTATATTTTCCAACGCGAAACTTTGATGAATAATATCTTTTATTATAATTGATAAAATGTTGATATTAAGAAACTATACATAAAGATTATTCTAATAAATACCCACGTGGCAATGTTTAAACTTATATTAGTTTTGTGCTCCGGGCGATGCCCAGGTTGTTTATTGAATTTTAGGATAAACCTTTTGGTTTGAATGTTAAATACGATCATATAATCACTTTTGATAATGCAGGATATTTAGACATGCGATATCATACCTATTATATTTACTAAACTAAAAGTATTTTTACTAATTCTCTATTATTTTAAATATATTATAAATGGATCTTATTTTAAAAAACTTTTTAAAACGAATTTTATGATGGAAATAGAACTGAGTTATTAGATTTTTATTAAAAGTTATGATTAATTTTGTATATATAAAATATTAGTAGTGTATCGATAATAAAACTCTATACAACATTTTTATCTTAAAAAATCTATCCAAAATTCGATTATTTAGCATCATATGTGTCACAATAATACCTATTTGTCGCCTACGTGACACGACACTTGGCGAAAAACTGGAATACCAAGTGTCGTTGTCTCGTGACTTGGCTGCAAGACCAGACCAACTTTATTTATTAGTGATATGATATGATATGATGTTTCGGAGCGTTTGATATATGGGATAGGAATAAGAAGGATAAGAGGACTGTATAATGATAGAGAATATGGATAGGATAGGATAAAATAAAGTGTTATCCTTTGTTTGGTATAAATTAATTAGGGATAAGAGTAGGATATGTAATAAAGTTACGAATATACCCTTACTAACTTTACCTTTCTCCTTTATTTTTTCTTTTCAACAAGGATATATATGTTATTTCAATTATAATTCCTTCCCCTCCATCCTTATTATATTCCAGCCCTCCCTAGGTATAGAAATTGAAGGATAGGAGGGGTTTTAATTCTTATCTTATCCCCTTGTTTAATCCCTATCTTTATAAACAAACATGGAATTTTAATATTTCTTTCCCAAAATCCTTTTCTCTCTTCTTTTATCTCCCTCAACAAACAATCTTAAATATTGCTTTAAAGTGATACTCCGTATATAAGGAGAAAAAGATATAACATCGACTAGCCTCGCATAAAACATGATTACAGTTATACGAGTTACTAACTTTAAATGAGATGACTTTAAGACATAAATTAAAATGAGATGACTTTAAGACATTAATTTTTTTATTTTCTGTAATAACTTGTTACTCCGTAGTAAAGAGTTGATTGATTTACAAGATTTGGGATGTAATGTTTATTTATTATTTTTGTAAAAAAGAATGTAACATTTATTTATTATGATATGTAGACCGGCTATTTTTCTCTTGTTACGGAGTACTTCATGTATATAACTTTCCATAGCACAATGTCTTGATGATTCAACAATAACATAATATGATACAAACTTTGTTTGGCAATTGGCTATTGGATGCTGACTGTTTAACTTAACTTGTTTGACTGACTATTAGCATTGGTTGTTTATACGGCTTGTTTGACCATTAGTTGTATGTAAATATGTTTGGTAAAATCAGATGTTAGTTTTTTATTTTAACTATGCAAAGTGACCTTAAAGGACATTATTATATGTTCTTATTCATTTGTTATCAGTACTATTAATTACTAATTAATAATTTTTAATTATTAATTAATATTACCAATTACAAACTAATAATTATTAATTACTAAATATTTAGTACTAACTAATAATTATTAAGTACTAATTACTAATTATTAATTACTAATTACTAATTATTCATTGTTGATTACTAAATATTAATAATTAAGTACTAATAAATTTAAGTAGTTTTCACTGATTACTAATTACTACTCCGTAATAATTATTAACCATTAATCATTATTTTTTTGAACAATCATTAATCATTAATGATTTAATTGTTAATTATTAATTATTAATCGTCAATCATTAATTATTGATTGTTAATTATTGATTATTAATTATCAATCATTAATTATTAACTATATATTTTTAATAATTAATTGTTAATCATTAATTATTAACTATAAATTATAAATCATTAATTATTAATCATTAATTATTAATTAAATATCATTAATTATTAATCATTAATTATTAATTATTAAACATCAATTATTAATCATTAATTATTAAATATCAATTATTAATCATTAATTAATAATTTTTAATTAGATTATTAATTATTAGTTGCTAATTATTAATTATTAATCCCTCCGTCCCTTTATTAGATGTCTATTTCAAGCATTATTACTCACATAATATAGAGAAGTAGGCATCTGATTAAGGGACGAAGGGAGTATTAATTATTAATTATTTCAATGAAAAGCCAAAACTAGGGCTGCAAAAGATCCGGGCCAAGCCGAGTTTCAGTCTGTTCAGGCTAACCTTGATAAGAGTTATTCGTGTTCGAACTATCTCGAGCTTGAACGAGCTTTTAAAAATCTTGTTCGAGCTGGGCTCGTTAAGAATTTGGCTTGTTCGAGTTTTGTTCACGAACGTACTCATTTGCATTTCGAGTTTAAGTTCGAGCTTGAACGGGATTAAATCGGGCTTGAATAAATAAATGAGCCATAATTTGTTATTAAAAAAATGTTTTCTTTCAATTTTAACTCAACGGAGTTTTCATGTCTTTACAAGATGAAATAATTACTACTTTTTACAAATATGTATGAATAAAAGGTATATAAATTGTCCGAGTTTTAATCAGAAATTAAAAAAACTTATAAATGGACTTAAACGAGTTGCTCATGAACATTACTGAGTCGAACATGATGTTGTTCGAGCTTTGTTCATTTACTTGATGAGCTTAAGATTTTTATTCAAGCTTGTTTGTTAGCTCAACAAACGAGTTTTGATCAAGTTTTGACCGAGTTTGTTCGCGAGTAGTTCACGAACGTATCAACTCATTTACACCCCTAGCCAAAACCAAAAAGCTAGTCTTTTTGATTTTGGCGGAAAATCCTGCTTTTTAACTAGCTAAAAAGTCGTTTATCAAACACGTTTTTTTGGCTATTTAACCAAAATAAAAAGCTAAAAGTCAATCAAAAAGCCATTTACCAAACATAGCCATAATGATAGTAATTACAAGTGTTTTACAAAAATATATATGTAGTTATGTTACGTACGTCCATCAATTCATCAATTCCTTGTTTCGAACATTCCAAGATAGTATATACGGTTGTCAATCCTAGAAAATTTGTGACCAAAAATTAATAATGTGATCTATAAATAGATTGAAAGCTAAGATAAGCGCAAACAGCTGTTCAAAGCATAAGCTACCCAAAAGATGACATATAGTAGTGCAAGTGTCGTCAACAAGAACCGCATTATCAATTTATCATTATAACAACTCAACAATTTCTTTTAATTTCCAATATGTGTATTTCCTTTCTTTAATTTTATCATCCAAACACTTGAGTCCTCCTTGAAAACAATAATATTAAGTTCATCAAAATTGAAGTTTGTTGCATCCATTTCCAATAGAAATTAAATTTGAAGAATTTACAATAGAAAATTATTTCATGGCTCGTGTTTCAGCAATTATTATAGTTGTACTTTCTTGTCTCCTTAATTTGGTCCTACAATTGGCAGGTGAGCTTTAGATTCTCCTAGAATTTCTACATTTTTTTTTCTCTTTTCGTATGCTTCTTTTTTTTTTTTTTTTTTTTAATCATATAAATGGAATTTATATGTGTGATTTATTCTTGGGATCTTTATTTTATTATGAATAATAAATATATTGATCAATAAAATCATAGTCAAATAATGTTTCTTCCAATTTATTACACAAGTATTATTAAGGAGTACATAATTCTCATAAAGATTATGTGTTTTTTGTCATAGAGGTTTTATAAAAAATAAAAATAAAATTTTCATTATCTATACTTTAAATTCCTTTAAGCAAAAATTTTACAAATTTTATGTGAGCTAGAAGTAGAGTGAAAGGTGTTGTAGAATTGGACATAACTTTTGGAAATTGAGTTTATGTTCATTAAAATGTAATAGTAAATGACAAAGTCTAACTACCTTTATAACATTATTCTCTATACGTTCCCTTAATCTGAATAGGTAACATTAACGACAGATTATTTTAACAAACAAATAAATTCCGATACTTAGTGATTACATGGTGTGATCGATTACGTACCATAAGACGCTATTGAACAAAGTGATAATCAACTTTAATGTGCTAGTAGCATACGTAAATTTCTAATAAGATGTTCTTGGATTGTGGTCTTGTAGATGGGAGTGAGAGCAAGTTGTGTCCACCATGGTGCGTTACTAGGCTTGATGCTTCGGATGCTCGGGTCAAGATATCATTTGATTGGATCTGTGAAAATGGAGCGGATTGTGGCCCGATAAAACCAGGCGGGCCGTGTTACGTGGAAGGTGACATCAAGGCCATGGCCTCCTATGCCTTCAATGACTATTTCCAGAAGACTAGACCGTCTGGTGGTCTATGTGATTATGGTGAAGTTGCTACTTTATCTAATAAAGATCCCAGTAAGTAAACATATTACATTCATCAATCCTTTTGATTTTGAATATATTGTTGATTTCGGATTTAGTGAAGTTTGAAACAAGACGGTCTCTTAATAAGTTATTGCAAGTCTGTGACGTTTTTGTTAATGGATGGCTTGACCTATTGATTGTACAAAGTGATCATTTTTTATGTTGGATTTATCTTACAGGTCACGGTGCTTGCAATTTTATGTGTACGCCATACTAGGAACGGGTAATCATTCAGAAGTGCGCGTAAATGAACTCTGATGAGTCCGACTGTACATCCATCAATCTTATAGCTATGTATTTATGTTCATTATAGACATAGTAACTAGCAAGACACAAAAAGAATTAACATATACTGGTAGTTAAGTGAAAATTGATGTAACTCCAACTGTCAATTTGACTATAGTACCTAGTTTGATAAAGCAATACATTATATGTTTCTGAATGACAAAATAATTCAGTGGCGAATATTAGACCAACAGGGCAGGGCCCCTATGAGCCTTGGTGAAGATCCTCCCTTGCAAGTAATTAAGCATTGCGAGGACTAGTTACTAGATAGAGGTTACTCTAGGTGCCCTTTGTTAATGGTACTGCTAGAAAAAAAAAAGACTGAGAAATCTAAGGATCAGATGAGTAACTTAACAGAAGTGTCTTTATATTCCAAGACATACACAAAAAACTTTGTGCAGGACATCAAACACAACTGATGCAATAATTTGTAATGTACAGCTGAATTCAGTGCTTAGTAGCAGATAATAGGCGGTCAGATTCATGCATTATTAATAAGGGGGAGAGACAAAGTCACCACTGAGATCAGAATCCAACAGTTCAGCCTCTAAATCATCATCAGCTTCTTGTGTTTCGGATTCTGCAGCCTGTTCTCCTATGGTTGCCTCCCTTGGGTTTTGTGCTTCTTTTATGATTTGCATAATCTCCTCTTCACTTTGGACCTGCAGATCACCGCCGTTCTTTTCTCCATAGTTTGTCTTCTCCCCTTCAACAAGATCCTTTGGATAATTCTTCAGAAACCATGGGTGCTTCTTGATCTCAGGGATTGTGATCCTCTTCAGTGAACATCATACCACAGTCACAAACATGTATTGTATAGTAAGAGTGTAAGACATAGTGTTCAAAGTACAAAAACTTTGCTTGGAAAAATTTTTGTTCACTATAGAATGTCAAAGAGGGTGTTACCTTGGAGGGGTTAGCGACAAAGATTTGTGAAAGGAGGTTCTTGCAGTCTGCTGATACGCGCACATAGTCTGGAATAGAGAATTGAACACCCAATATTCTCTGTGTAGGAAAAATGATTACTAACTGTACATCTCAAAAATGACTACTCACTGCACTAAGAAGGGATAGTTTCTTATAAGTCTTAATAACTCACTGCAATTGTCTTGCGGAAATTTTTTGGATCTTCAGGATCCTCGAAAGGATATCCTCCCACCAGCATCACATATAATGTCACTCCACTGGACCAAACATCAGCGATCTGAAGCATCAGAACATTCACTTATAGTACGTACTACATATTCATAATCCATCCAGCATTTGATGTGGTTTGCAAATTGTACCTTCCCATCATATTCCTTACGTGACAGGACCTCAGGTGCGATATATGCAGGAGTACCCACCGTTGACTTAGGCTGTGAATGCAGTATCCCAGACTGAGATACAATGAAGGATTTAGTTTCAGCTGTTAGTCTCCGAAGAAAGAGGGGATTTAGCCCTCAAGACTTACAGAGAAATTAACTTGTAACACATACTTTGGAGTAACCAAAGTCGCATATCTTAAGGCGAGGTGATGGACTGCCATCAAGCAGAGTATTTTCCAGTTTTAGATCCCTGTGACAAATTTCCTGCAGCAATTGATACAAACAGAAATTCAGGTACAGCTTGATAGCAGCTGACTTCAGACATCAGCTGCAGGCCTGCAGTAGTACAAACAGAAACTCGACGTACCATGGTATGACAGTAGCTGACTCCAGATATCAGCTGCTGGAAGAAAAACCTTGCCTGTTACTTGCACAGACAGCAGAGTCGGACAGAGGGTGCGTGTTAGTAAAAACTTTATGCACGTATTAACATCTAACAGAGGTTATAAACTTTTAATCAATACGAAAACACTGAAATGCAGTAATTGATAATAGCAACCTCGTCTTCATTAAATCGGCCAGCACTGCATATTCTGTTGAAGAGCTCACCTCCAGCAGCATACTCCATGACAATCGCCAAATGTGTGGGTGTTACAAAAACCTAGCAATTTTATTTATACAAGCAAAAAATACTCATCAAAAGATTCAAATTATAATCTAACAACGAGCATTAAAACTCGTAAGGCCATGAAAAATTAACACAATTAACACAGAACAATTCGGATTAGTAAACATATATGTTACACGAATCGAATTAATAATGTTTTAACACAATTAGGAAGAAGTATGATGAAGTATATATACCTCTTTAAACTTGATGATATTTGGATGCTTTAATGATCGATGATTGATAATCTCCCTCTGAACATTCTCATCAATCTAAAACCAAAATATAAATGATTAAACATACTACATGTTATATACTCCTAATCCTTCAACAATTAGCAAAAGTATATGCAACAAACTCAAATCGTATATAACAAGAAACATTACTTAGTTACTACTGCAACAAAAAAGAAATTTTCAAACTTGACTTAGATTTGACCATCATACAACTATGTACTTTTTTTTCGCAAGACATTTACACAAAATCAGTTAGTCCACAAAGTATCTATCAGACAAATAGCGATTTAGAAAATAACATAAAACACCGTATATTTCTTCTAGACACGTAATTTAACACGAATATATCATATAAACGTTCCAACAGTAACGTACGAGCACATGATAAACTGATCATCAGATTTTACAACTTTTAACCCATAACCAAATAAATAAGCTAGCTTTCTAAAATATAAATCGTTCAGCATATAATTTTGCATAATGAAACACAAAATTCAACAAAATTAAAGTAAAAAAATAAATGGTGATACCTTTTTTCCTCTTTCAATGTATTTAACAGCAAAAAGCTCCTTAGTTTTCTTATCAATCACCAATCTAGCAACTCCAAAATTCCCAGAACCTATTTCCTTTATTGGTTCATATCTCTCCATTTTTTACAATCCAAAAATATGACTTTTTTTTTATCAACCCAGAAAAACTCTAAAAAAACAACTTTTTTCTTGGGTTTACGAAGAACAAAAGAAATAATGTAGAAAAATTAAAATGTAGGAAAATTAAAATGTAGGAGTTGAGAAGTCTAATAAATAAATAATGCATAAGAAAATTGGTGTGCCGTCCATATAAATGTATACTTGTAGAATTTAGAAATTTATATTTCTGTTACTATTACTTAATTCTATTTTAAAACTATTGGTCAATGGTCATTTCTTGGAAATTAAAGTGCAAATTATTCTTCACCAAAAAAAAAAAAGTGCAAATTATTCTTTTTTTTTTTTTCTTCTTTTGATTACTGTACATTTTTTTTTAATATTCTTAATTAAAGAGGGAATTTGGAGGACACGTATGATATGGAGCAACTTGCAAGAGTCGGCTGGATAGTGACAGCTAACCTCACAAGATGACACATACTACGTACTTGTTAATTTTATTAATTAAATTATGTCCACATAATTATTATAGAGTTGTTTAATTTAATGATAGTTAATACAGTACTTATGTAAGTTTAAAAAAAAAAACTTATGTAGGTTAAAAATCAAGAGATGCTGAGAGTGAGGGATTAGCTCAAGTCATTAGAGCTTCCCTCCTGCTTTTAGGAGATTCTGAAATTGATTCTCATTATTCGTTTTTGTGGCTGTACAAACACCAAAAAAAAAAAAAAAAAAAAAAAAAATCAAGAGATGCTCCCTCGGTTACAAGTAACTAGATCTCGTAAAGAATCATTCGGAGTTTGATTTAGAAATCCTTGAGATGAGGTTGGTTTCACTCATACAGTCATACCATACTTGTATACAACTCAATCAAATGCATGGTATTAGGTGAACAAATAATTATACGTGAAAATCGTCCCCTCAATATATGTCTTTTTATATCTGAATAGTTAATATATGTATAATCATACTAAGTAATTTACCTTAGATTAACCCTCTTATCATACATCTTGATTCTTGATTGATGAATACAGGCGTCTTAGTGGTTGATAGCTTGATATTGTAAAGTTGTTCTCACAATATTAAAAACGATGGCATAAAAGTATCACCTTCCTTTATGACTCTCTAAACACCAAAAATTATAGTATCAAAACTTAGCTACGTAGTATTAAAATTGATGGCATAATAAAGGAAAAAAGTATAAAATTGGACCTACAATATTGAGCATGTTGTCAAGCCAGGCCGGCTTTCTAAAAAAGGTGGTGGTTGCTCCATTCAATCATTCATTTTATAATTTATTAACCCAAAAAAGGAATCATCAATTGGAAAGGTTCAAGTTTAAGAAAAAATACTACTTGTAGTTTTATTAGGTAGGACTTAGGAGGCAAGGAAAAGTGCTCTACTAGAGCGTAATCTCATTATAGTCAACAGTAGATCCCTTGGAAGCAAGGAAAGCATAATTCTCCATCTTCAAAGTGTATCCGGTGGAGTTTGAACCCTGATAATCATACATAATATCAATTATGAGATACAAACTTTCACCTTAGACTAATTAAAGTAGGATCTAACCGTACGTGTTGTTAAATGTTAATAGTGTAATTGGAAATATACACGATTGTTAATGGTACCTTAATCACAGGAAAATGACCAAAAGGAGCTAGGAGTTTCCTTATCGTAAGCAAGAATAAAGAACGAAAAAAACATTAAAAACAGAAACTAGTTATTAGCAGAGTTGCCTCTGTAAACTTTAAAGAGGTAAAATTAAACATGCATACAAGTGAACAAAGATGACAACTTAATTAATGTATTGTACGCGCTAATGGTCTAATATGATGTTAAACTATAATTATTGAAAGTCTCCTTCATGGCCAAGCAGCTCCTTGATATGTTTGCCATAACTATTTTCATAGATAAATAGTTGACTTTTATTACTATTTTCATGAATATCATCAAATTGCTTGTCAACTAATCTCTTGTTTCAACATGAATATTTATGATAACATTATAATATGCAGTGTGTCAATTGGCCAGGTATTATTAATACTTATTAGTTAATACCTTTTTTTTTTTTCTTTTTTTGCAATTACTTATCAGTTAATACTTTATTGTTATATATATCGTTTTAGGTATTGTTTTTTCCATTCTAAAAATTAAATTTGTGTTTTTTTGACGTCTTAGGAAGTACAATTTATATTATTCAATTCCATTCACAAATTTTAGTGTCAAAATCAATTAAAGAGTTTATGTCACTTTCATGACATTTTATACATTATTTGTCTTACAGTTTTTAAATACAAAGTATTTTTTTCCCTCTATTCAATGTACTCTCCCTATTAAATTCTTTTCAATGAAATAATGTGTATTTCTCCTCTTCTATTTTGTCTAAATAAAATTACTATATTAGTATTCAAAATTCGACCAAAACTAGTGGCGGTGGGTGTGATGTGTGAAAATGGATATAGTAATGATAGAATAACGCTATAAAATATGATAATTGTATGTATATGGCATTCATCCTTAGTCGATATCCTTGGAAGTAAGGTATAATATGTTTCTCAATATGCTATATTGCTATGCAAATAAAGTGTTTCTTGCATTGCATTGTAACGACTTATTTCTAGTATCTCGTACTTAATTACTTACCCATGATTTCCTCAGGCTCGAATACATCTTCTATATGTTCTATAATACGAAATACGAACTATAATATATAAACAACCTTTGGGCCTACCAATCTAAACATGGTCTTTCTAAATATATTTGGTGTATTGTAGTGACATATTACCAAACAAGGTTTAATTTTTGGAAAGATTTACATCTTATAATAACGAGTACATGCATCGATCTCTTAATCACGAGTTTCTAAGATCAAATCTCATTAGATGGTATATTAGGGTGGGAACTGTATGTTACTCCCTTACCGACCTTTCCCCCTATTTTCAAATAGTCTTGTCCATGAATCTAGATCGAGTTAACCTCGGAGAGGTTCTACCCTTATAAGGGTTTCTCTTTGCCTTGCCAAAAAACAAAGAAAAAAAGTTGTGGACTTGTGGCAATTTAAATCTTGTTTAAATATGAAATTTAACTCCGTCAGTGGGTTTTCCCGCTGCTAGTCCCAAGCCTGGATAAAGGAAGAGGGTTTTGGTAGGCCAGTGACAGTCAGTGTAAAACTTTGTCACATCCCATGACATGAGCCAAACTGATATTTTCGTGGGGTGTTCCCTACTTAGCGACGCGTTGCACTTCCTAGACCCAGGTTTGGTGATAAGTATGCAAGGGTTGCTAGATCGTCGCCCGGAAGCGACGCGCGCGCCACATTGCCCGAGTGTGGTGTTAAATGATTAAGGGCGTGCCATTGGGGCGTTCCCTACTGAGCGACGCGCTGCACTTCCCAGACCCGGGTGCAGTGATAAGTATGCAAGGGTTGCTAGGTCGTCGCCCGCAAGTGACGCGCCACATTGCCCAAGTGTGGTGTCAAATGATCAAGGGCTTGCAGTTGAGGACAGAAGGGAGCATGGTACGAGTGCGCGTGGTATGAGGGAGCATGGGAGAAAGGACTCTAGTTTGCGGATTGGTTCTTGGAATGTGGGGTCTCTTACGGGGAAATCTGCAAAAGTGGTAAAAGTGATGAAGAGAAGACGCGTAAACATTATGTGCCTCCAAGAGACAAGGTGGACGGGAGAAGGAGCTTGAGGCTTGGTTTTGGGGTATAAGGTGTGGTACGTTGGACAGGAAACGAGCTACAAGACCAGGAATGGAGGATCTAGGAACGGATTTGGTGTGATTCTTGATGAGAGGTTGTCAAAAGAGGTAATCGGGGTCTATCGGAAGAAGGATAGGTTGATAAGGGTGAAGTTGATATGTGGCAAGGAGATTGTGAATGTTATTAGTGCTTATGCTCCCCAAGTTGGTTTGGATGCAGAAGAGAAACGTCAATTTTGGGAGGATTTAGACGATGTGGTACAGGGTGTCCACCACACTAAAAAATTATATATTGGAGGTGATTTAAATGGGCATGTTGGGGCGAGTCGGGATGGCTACGAGAGTGTTCATGGAGGCTTTGGGTATGAGGGACGCAGGTGGTGAAGCTATTATGGATTTTGCCCAATCTTATGACTTAATTTTTGCTAATACTTGGTTTAAGAAGCGGGATTCACACTTGATAACTTTCCGGAGTAGAGCAAATGCAACACAAATAGACTTCCTGCTCACAAGGAGCACGGATAGACAAAGTTGCTTAAACTGCAAGGTCATTCCAGGAGAGAGTGTTGTCACTCAACACCGGCTTTTGGTTATGATTATTCGGTTGAAAGAGAAGGTGAAGAAAAAAGGAAGACAAGAGGAGCCAAATATAAGATGGCGGACTCTAAGGGATGCAAATGCTAAGGTGTTTACAGAAAAGGTAATCAGGGAGGCGGATTGGGATGGAGAGGTGGATCCAGACATGACTTGGTTACAACTGAAGAACTGTTTTTTGAGAGTGGCCAAAGAGGTCCTAGGGGAAGAACTTCGATGCAGAAAGATACTTCATGGTGGAATGAAGAGGTAAAAGCAGTAATTAAGCAAAAAAGGGAACATTATCAAGCCTTGGAAAAATGTAGGAGTGAAGAAACCTTTGCAGCGTATAAGGAGGCTAAGAGTAAGGCAAAAGCAACTGTGCGACAAGCAAAAGAAAAGGCTTATCAGGAGATTTATGAATAGCTTGACTTCAAGAAGGGAGAAAAGATCATTTATAAGATGGCAAAGAGAAGACAAGAGGCAAGGAAGATATTGGCATGGTAAAGTGTGTCAAAGATAAGAACCAAATTGTCCTAGTACAAGAGGAGGACATCAAGGACGGGTGGAAGGGGTACTTCGATGAATTGTTTAATGGAAGTAATGGAGTTGTGACAGGAGATATCTTCGTGAGTGATGAAGAAATCAACATGGAGTATGTGCAGAGGATTAGAAGAGTAGAGGTGGAGATTGCACTGAAGAAGATGAAGCCTAAGAAGGTGGTTGGCCCTGATGGTATACCGATAGAGGTGCGGAGGTGTCTGGGTAAGATTGGTATTGATTGGTTAACAAACCTCTTTGACAAGATATGGAGGGCTACGAGGATCCCGCAAGATTGGAGGAAGAGCACCTTGGTCCCAGTTTATAAAAACAAAGGAGACGCTCAAGATTGTTCTAACTATCGAGGGATCAAGCTAATTATGAGCCACACTATGAAGTTGTGGGAAAGAGTGATTGAACATAGGTTGAGGTCATGCACAAGCATTTCGGATAACCAATTTGGTCTTATGCCTGGGAGATCTACTATGGAAGCTGTTTTGGGTAAAAATACCCAAGGCCACGTGGCCCAATAAAATGGTGACACGTGTCACCCTAAGAGAGGTTCAAAATGGGCCTCTCCTCTGCTAACACGTGGCATCCCCAATGCTTGGGAAAAAGATGGCCTTCAAGGCCCAATTCCCAAGATACCCACCATTCCTAGGTTTCCGTAACCTAGGATAACGGCACAAATTCCAAGACCCTATAAATAGGGAGATATTCCCACATGGGAAAAGGATTCACAAACATTCACGGAAAACAGAGCAATCATTGATTGCAGATATTTACCTCACCTCAGAGAATACCTTCGATCTCGGAATCTAAGAAGATATTATACTTTCCGCATTACATCATCCGAACACGTTCTAACTTGATCGTCGGATGTGGAATTCCACCCAACCGAAGTCTCCGTTGTTTTGCAGGTACAGGCGCCCGGAATCTAGTCTTAGAATTGTAACTCTCCAGAGGGACACGGAAAACCCCGAAACAGAAGCAATCCATTTGGTAAGACTAATGATGGAGTTTTATCGGGTAAAGAAGAAGGATCTTCATATGGTCTTTATTAATTTGGAGAAGGCATATGACTAGGTGCCAAGAGAGTACTTTGGTGGGCAATGTTGAAGAAAGGTATCCCACGAAGGTACGTGGACCTAGTTAAGGATATGTATCGGGATGTGTCAACAAATGTGAGGACATGTGGAGGGTTGACAAAACATTTCCCTATCACAATTGGATTGCATCAAGGGTCTGCATTAAGCCTTTTACTTTTTGCAACGGTTCTAGATGAAGTAACAAGACCAATTCAAGATGAGGTTCCATGGTGTATGTTGTTTGCGGATGATATCGTGTTGATGGATGAAACTAAAGATGGGGTTAATACCTAGTTGGAGCAATGGAGGCAAAGGTTGGAATCTAGGGGATTTAAGCTAAGTTAGAGTAAGACATAATATTTGGTATGTTGCTTTGGTACACAGAAGGGGACATGTGATGAAGTGGTGAGTTTGGATGGAGAGGAATTGACCATGAGTGAATGTTTTAAGTATCTTAGGTCGATCATCCAGAAAAATGGTGATATTGATCAAGACGTGGCCCACAGGATTAAGTCGGGGTGGATTAAATGGAGGGCGGCCACGGGAGTGTTATGTGACCGAAGCATTCCTTTACAGTTAAAGGGAAAATTCTACAAGACTGCCATAAGACCAGTGTTGCTCTATGGTACCGAATGTTGGGCTTCTAAGAAGGAGCACATTAAAAAGATGGAGGTTACAGAAATGCGCATGTTACGGTGGATGTGCGGGAACACTCTAAGAAATAGAATTAGAAATGAGGTTATTCGCAAGAAAGTAGGTGTGGCAGGCATTGCAGACAAAGTAATGGAAAATCGCCTGCATTGGTTTGGGCATGTTAGACAGAGACCCGAGGGTGCACCGGTTCGACGAGTGGAAGAGTGGGACCATGGAGGGGTTAAATGAGGGAGAGGGAGACCAAAAATGACTTGGTTAGAAGGAGTTAAGAAGGATATGAAGTATATAGATTTGCATGAGGATGAAGCATTGGATCATAAGGGATGGAAGAGAAAGATTTTTGTGGATGACTACACGGAATAATCAAATTTGGTTATGTAACCGAACCCACTTGTGGGATTAAGACTTTGATTAATTGATTGATTGAATTGTCATTCTGCCATTGGCTTGGATGAGAACTACCTGAGCATATCTTAGGATCTTCATTTGATGGGCTTTGTGGGTCAAAATATAAATGTAGTTGGTCCGTTGGATGTAGTCAATATAAGGCCCAAAATAATTAGCTATTTTGGTATCCAAACAAGTTCCTTACATTTGATTGATTATACAATAGAAGTTTAAACAGTTGTTAAGAGTATATTTGTCCCTTGATTTCATTGTGATTAAACTGTACGCACATTACCTCTAATTACGGGTTTATGAATTTTATATTGTAGGTTCATTATCTCTGACATACAGATTAAGTTCATTATCTCTGACTTTTCTGTTCATAATATATTTTTTTTGGATTTATTATTTGTCTAATTGCTCATGTTATAGCTTTATTATCTTTTACATAATGTTGCTTTACGTTTAAACCACAGGTTCATCGCCTTTGGCCTAAAGCCCTAAACAATAGCTTCATTTAAAACAATAAATAAATAGAAAGTAGGTTTATTGCCACAACCTATCATATGCTCATTGCCTTTGACTTATTTATTTTAGGGCTGGCAAACCCTGACCCGACACGAAAACCCGATCCGAACCCGACCCGAAGTTATTGAGAGAGACCCGAACCCGACCTGAACTGAACCCGAACAACCCGAATTCGACCCGATTTGACCCAAATTTCATATTTCGTAATAATATTAAGTTTTACACTATTTTTAATAGTTTCTAAGCATAACCCGAAATCGACCGAAATCTGACCCGAACCCGACCTGCTGACCCGAATTGACACCCCTAATTTATTTTGTTTAAATGGCAGGGGTCATTACTCATTACATATGTACTATGATGTTCTCACATACGAGAACATACAATTATACGGGATATAAATCCATATTCTTAATATATATGTAAGCTTTTCACCAAAAAAAAATTATATACGTAAGCTCCCCTTGCCTTCAAAAAAACAAAAAAAAAAATTGTGTAATAGACAAAGACAAAGTACTACGAAGTGTTTTCCTCCCTTTCTTCACCAAAATAAAAAAATAAATAAAAATAAATAAATAAATAAATAAATAAAAGAAGAGTACTACTGTACGAAGTAAAATGATTAATGAAAAGATTAATACAATGGTTCAAAAATCAAAACATGTTACAAAAAGCAAATCTAGTTTTTTCTTTGAAATGGGCCATAAAGATTCAAGTATTCAACAAGTGATAAGATGATGTTGATACACTGACAACTTTCTTTATGGAAACTTCATAATAAGTTGGAAATTTCAAGCCCATCAAAACAGCAAATATTGGCTAAAGACTAGGCCCAATTTCAAAATGCTCTCTTTTTTTTTTTTTTTTTTTTTGGGACTTTTGAAACGTCGCTATAAATTTTTCACAAAACATTTATCCTTATTCTCCCTCCAAAAAATAATTTTGCCTCACCATATGTTGTCATTAGCACTGTCAAAAACCGAACCGAACCGGTAAAACTGAACTGTTTCAACCGATCCGAATGAGAACCGAACCGATTAAAAACCGATTTTATAAAACCGAAAACCGACCTGAACCGCATGTTAGTAAAACCGAAACCGAACCGATCCGAGTAAACGTTAAACCGTTTAAGAACCGAACCAAATCTAAACCGAACTGAAAGGAAACCGAACAGAAAATGAACCGAACCGTTTCTAACCCGAAACCGTTTGAACTGACATAAAAACCGTTTACACCGAACCGTTTACAAACCGCAACCCGTTTGCACCGAACCGTTTATAAACCGAACCGTTTATGAACCGAACCACTTATAAATCGAACCGTTTACAAACCGCTTATAAATTAATTACATTTCTCGAATCCCGATAAAACGATATATACCTTCATAATATCAGCTTTTATATTTTTTTTTTAACACACACATTAACTTATTAAGTTATTTAAATTATAAAATGTGAATCGGTTAGCGTGTATATGTCTAGCGTTGCGATTAATAAAAAATCGAATACCGTATAATAATATAATGACGTCATATATTAGAGAGTTAGAAGTACTACGGATTTGTTATAAGATTATATTTATATCAGTTTAGCTATGTCTGTAAGCAATACACTT